TGTGTGGTAAAGAATTTCTAAGAGATATTATTCAAAATTGTGTCTTCCTTGCTCTGATATAAATTCTTTTCTCTCTTACCAGCTTTCTTTGTAGCCCCAACTATTCAGAAAAATTTGCTATACATTGCACACAATTTGTGTGAAGTGCTTTTTATTTCCCTCAAGACAGTAAAATAATGCAGTAGCTGTAAGGAAGATGAAAAATTTAAGACCCACTTAGTAAAAAAATTGGCACTTAGCTCAGAATTAGAAGATGATATGCAAGACTCCAAAGAACTCACCACAAATGGAAGCTCCCAGCTAAAGATGGGCATAAGAATACAGGGTCTCCTGGAATTTCACAGGTATCTGGGAGAAGTTTTCGACATCTATGAATTTAGTTTAGAGGTTGACCTAATGCTGTCTATATTTAAAAGGCAAGCAAAATTCCAGCTAACGTATCATTACACACAGTAAATATGGAAATGGCTAAAAATACAAATGCGAAAAAGCGATGCCAAAATATCACCTCACAAAACTTCACAGCCAAAAGTTGAATGAATCACCAAAAGATAGCCTTCAGCAGAGAAAGATGAGATATATAAACAGAGTAAGTCGAGGAAGCCAGCCCGAGATGGCCATAATATCCTCTTCCTCTCAATGCCGAGTACAACTCAATGTCAGTCTTTGAAAATATCTTCTCCTTGTAGTTTCTCTGCAACTTTGCCTTCATGCACAATTATAGAAGACAGAGAGTTTATTATTACTGCATATAAGCAGAAATTATATATTATTACATATTATATATTATTATATATAATATATATTATATATTATACATTATTATATATTATATATAAAATTATATATTATTACTGCATATAAGCAGACTGGATAAAGGCTATTGCATTAGTTTAGGCAACTGTAGCAGTTCTGTGGGAGACTAGAAGTGCTTCGATTTTGGTTGTGATTTCAATGTGTAGACCACACTTGCTGAAGAACTGGATGAGATGAAGAAGGAAGAGTGTGAAGAATCATGTCTGATTTCTAGGTTTTTAATTTGAGCGACCTGTAGATGATTTGGTTACTTATCTAGATTGAAAAGATCATCAGGAATGATAAAGAAGATATAGGTTCTCTAATGAAAATACCTGCTTAAAACGTTTTAGTGAGGGAAGGATACAAAGGGGAAAATGTGGGTCCAAGTTTGTGCTTCAGTGTTGTGTATATTATGATAGCTAGCAAAGACAACTGCAAAAATATTGCCCATCAAATGTATAAAAAACACCTTTTCCTTAGGAATATGGCTAAAGATATAATTTTGCTTATTAATTTTTGTTATGGGAAATTACAGCATGTTATAGATTGATATTACAAGCACAGATTACTTCACAAGTTCATGGCAAATACTTACCTATTAAAGCATCAGCTGTTGTAATAAGTAAAAGCGAATATTGCTAAAACTCTACTTTCTCCCTCTCTGCCCTTTAACAGGCTAGTGTCCATAAACAGCTCTTGATTTGACTAGATAATAGCTAGAAGTTATACTAACATTAACCAGTTACAATGCGTGATGTTTTTCTTACTAAACGTTCTTAAAAATCGATGCTAGTGATATATAATTAGCAACTTAATAAGTCAATGTACGTGTATATTTAAAACTTGTTTTTTGGTCATTTATGACAGTCACTATGTTTTGTGTTATGTGCTTTCTTGATGTAGGTTTTACTAAAAATGTTTGAAACTTCTCTAAAGAACAGCGTATTGGTGGATATAATTTACTTTCTCACACCCCAAGGCTAAAAATAATGGGAAAGAAACCAATCATGTAAAACTTCATTGAGCAGTGCGACATTTCTCAACCTGCAAATGAAATGAACACTTACTTGATTTCAACCGAATTGTTTTTAAAGATTCTTGCCTCCAGATGTAAATGCTTTAATTCTTTCCTGGGCAATGCAACACTCTCCTGCGAGGAGGTAGTAAATTTAAAGTAACTTGAACCATACGAATGTTCTGTAGGGAGAAAAGAAGGCACATGGTGAATAAAACGAAAACAAAAATTATGTGTGCAGATTACTCAGCCACACACTGTTGGTTATAGCAAAGATTCTTAAAGCCTTTAAGGAGGCTGGGGATTCAACAAGCTTATCAGCCAAACATCACAAAATAGTACCCTAAGAATATAGATTAGAGTTCAGATTGTTTCAGCGATGAATTGAAGCACAATTGAAGGGGCCTAATTATGGGAGATAGCGGAGAAATGCTACCAGATGGACTGCATGAGTCTGCAGCAATCAGAAATGAATTGCTGTTTCAATCACTGTAATTTATCCCTTGTAAGGCTCAGCAATCCTTGCAGCCACAGGCTTCGAGAAGAGAGGCTCCTTGTCCAACCAACCTCGAAAGGAACATTGACTTGGTCAGTTTCAATCACTTACTTGGGCAACAATGGATGCGGGGTGAACATCCTCAGGCAGGAATGTCAACCTTCAAGGGTCTTCCTAGGGGCATGATAATAGTTACTACCAACAGGCACCTCCTCCCGTTGCCCCTCATCCTCCAAATATCTATAAGGAATCAGCTGCTTTTATTATTCCTTTACTCCAAATTTTAACAGTCATTGCTTACACACAGCAAGTTTGGGTTATTGTGTTTCAAATAGGTAACTCTGCAAGGAACAGAACTGGGACTTTCCAACCATCTGTTTTTAACATCTATATCTCTCTGTCTGTCTATCTATCTATATATGTGGAAATTCTTGTGTATATAAATAAATGAAAATATAAAAGCCACTGGCATAATAAAGAGTTTAGCACACAGAAATTGGAAAGTATAGGAAATAATCACTGAAGAAGTTAAAAGAATATTAACACAACTTCACTAAGTACAAACATTAGCAGTTGTGGTCTTCTACCCTAGTAGAAATTGGCTTTGCTTAAGCAAGATTTTATTTTATTTTTTATTTATTTATTTTTTTCCAGTACCGGGAATCGAACTCACGACCTCGTGCTTGCCAGGCAGGCACAGTGCCTCTGAGCTAAATCCCCAGCCCTTAAGTAAGATTTTAGAAGTACAAAAATTTCAGTTATGTTGATAATAGGCACCAATTATTTCTCTTATACTAAATAAATTTAATGAGTTTTTCATTACTAGCTTAGTTTTGGTGTAGACGAAGACTTGGTTTTAATGAACAACAAAAAGAACATCTAAAATTGCATAGTTTCAAGGATATTAATATTTTTTATTTTTTTGTCCAGTAATTTCACTGGATTAGATTGAAGTGTCATAATTATGTCTACACATTTTCAAGTCAAGCATCACGATATATGTGAAGGGTATCTGTGATTTTGTATAATATACTTAATAACTGTATACAAGACAGTCATACATGTATTTCTTGGCAAGTAAATTTTATTTTAGGCTTTACTGTTGAATTTGGTAATCTTTACACAATATGGGCTGTATGAACTACAGCAGATGAATAGGTCATCATAAATTGTAAGATTTTGGATTAGTGCTATCAAATTTTGTATATCACTTAGGAGTTTTGAAGGACTTTTTCACTTAATTTTTCCATGTCCTTTTTGAGTCATTGCTAATCTTTAGCTTCTCAGTAAGTTTATGGTGTACAACCATTTAAAAGCAACAGCAGTCCTTCATAAACATGAACATATTATTTAAATGCTGTGACTTTATGTAATAAAAATTACAACTCAAGAGGAACTATTTAATTATATGCTTGCACATTCAGGCCTTTTAATTACGATAAAATTCAGAGAAGGAAAAAGTATGTTTCTTTGTATTGAGAGGCTAAATGAAAATCTGAAAAACTGAAATTGTCACAAAATTTAGTCATTTCTTATCAAAAATACTTCCCGCCTTATAATATACACTACACTCAGGGATTGAATATGAGTAACTTCACATTTTTACCCCTAGGGCTTTTAATAAAATACACATTTAGAGTAAAATCATTTCCTAATTGTTTTCCTCCATTTCTCAACATCCCTGAAAGTAGAATGTGTCTTACAATTGACAGTGTTTTACAAGAACCATTAGTACGGCAATAGTCATGAAATCCTAACTTGCTTATATGTGAAACTGATCATAGCTGTGCTTGTGAATATCTCTTCAGTTTAGTATGATGTATGTGTGTACTGATACTAACCAAATAAATACCAAACCCTCAGGGCAAGGGACACTTATAAATCTTTAGAACAATACAATTTCAGCTAGGATCCATATATTGTGCAGGAGTTACAAAAATCTATACTAGGTGAAATATAATATTGAGCACTTAATGAATGATAAATACATATTTCCTGAAAGCTCTGCAAGTTTATCAATAAATGCTAAGCAACAGCTGTATTATATTTTTATTTTCTCCCTAGGAAGAATCTTGAAAAAAGAAAGCAACAACGGACACATGCAGACACATACACTGAAATCTAACATCATATATGGGTCACCAGTTATCTTCATAGTGACATTGATATATCACTTTGTCAGAAAACTCCCTGCAACCTTGAATTGAATCCACCTATTTTCTAGGGACATAACTAAGGCAAAGATGAAAATGATTCTGGCAAATACTAAAGCATCAGTATGAGAACCTGCAGAACAGGTTTCAGGTATCTGTAGCCTGGTAGAAAATCTAGGTAATTGTGTAGTAGGCATTCTTACAAAATGCAGCTTATATTTAGGTCTACAAGAGCTTTTTCAATTAAAGTAAAATAAATTTCTACAAAAGTAATACATCTTAGATTTTTTTAAAAAATGGCAGCTTTACTAGTAACTTTGATAGCACAGAAGACAGTACCAAGTGCACCGATAGGTAGCAATTTCTGAGTTGACAGTAGTTCAGAAGAATCTGAATCTGAGTAAAAACCTGCAGAATTGTCTTAGCAATATCTCCATATTTTATTTTTTGTTCCTTTGTGTGTATACTGAAGGTTGAATGATAAAAATCTATGTATAAATGTATCTAAACGGTAGATCCAATAAATGTAACTTTCAAGTAACAAGAAAGCATTGTCATACTTTATTGATAGTACCTTTTCTCTTGTAGAACATAAAATAGTGATTTTTAAACTAATAGCACTTCAGGTAAAATTAGTTTTATTTAACATATCCTGCAAATGTTCTAAAAATAGCTACTATATATTTTATTTTATCCTTTCAAAGAACTTTGAAATATGTATATATATATATCTGTAAATAACTGAGGATTTCAGACAAGTCATTTTTAATTTACCAATTTTTATATTGACACTTATAAATAAAAGTGGCAAAGATCAATTCTTATTCCGATTTGTCATTGTAAAATACAAAACTCTGACAAAGTTTGTCTGTTAGACTTTGATATGAAGACATTTCAATCATATGTATACCAAGACAGGAACACATAGTGTGGGATTACAGCCAGTTTTTATTACCTTGACGTTGTTTATCATCTGTGTATTATCTGGGTTTTCCTATTCTCTCTCCCTCCTGCTGGCTATCTTTTGGAAAATTCTAACTTCTCATCATCACCATTAGTACGTGGACAGAAAATAAGAAAGGGAAAGTAAAATCAGTCTACCTGGCAACTTAATTCTATTAAAAGGATTATTGAGAGGATAAAAGTAATGTCCACAGTGAAATTACATGATTAGAGAAAATTGATGATACATGAACATATTAAAGGGCATAGATAGAATATATATACTGGATCAAAAAAAAAAGATGCAAATACTTAGCAAGTTTAGTGCTCTTTTATCTACTAAACCACAAAAATGAAAATATATTGGGCATTAGTTTAATCTGATTTGTTAGCTATGAATTTTTTTCTGAAAGAGTATTCTTGCAGTGTTCTAGAGCACTTGCAAGACCCTGAGATATGCCATTTTTGTTAGTATGTAAAAATAGTACACTGTGAAAATTAGTCAAATATTTATTAGATGAACAAAACAGTGCTCCACAAATCCATCCTTATTAAAAATTAAAATAGTGGAAAAATCTATCAGTACCCCTTTTCCGAACTTTGTCTTGTAATAATCTTCCATCAAAGGTAGTTTATTTGTATTTTTGTTATTAATATTATGCTGCAGTAATTACATTAGCACTGTCATTAATTTGCTTTACTGAAACAAAAGAGATTTACAGAAAATGCTGTTTTTGGAATCTTGCAAATATATATAATACATATTTAAGATTATCTTCAATATATACAATATTTAAGATACCTCTAAGTGAGGTTTATTTTTAATTAAACTAATTTCCAGAAAAATTTTCTCCCTGTAAGCAATCATGTCTTCTACATCTTTGCAGAGGAGCATTTCTTCAATAGATATCAGCTGATAGCTACTCAGATTGAAGGGTGAATTGCTCTTCACAGCATTTAACATCTTCAGGGACGCTGTAACTGATTCACTCACAGAAGAACAAACTGGGAAAATGCGAGCAGTCCACAAACTGAATTGTGCCTTGCTTCCTGAAAACAGCTCCTCTGTAACTTTAAGATTCCAAATCTCTAGACATGACAGAAAACTGATTCCAAAGAACTGAAGGAACTTTATATCTAATAATGTCTTAACGTTGCTTTTCAAGTTGTCTTGCACTCCAAATGCCATAGTTGAATACTTCACGTGTTCATTTTTCCTCAAGCTGACGGAATACAGAAAAGAATATGCAGGCACAACACTGGAAATGACAGAAGAACTGCTAATAATGCAGTTTTCTCCAATACACACATCCGGCCCCAGTCTGGAATATTCTACAACCGAGCCAGGTGCCACGGAGCACCCTGAATCCAGTATACTGTGAATGATACAGGATGTCTTGCCAGAACATTCTGGAATATATGAAAGGATACTAAAAGCTACTGATTGCAAACCAAGCTCTAGCTTTAAACTGCTATCTGAAGTAAAATGGAACAAATATTCTTCAGTTGTTCCGATGTGATAAAACTTAGAGTTATTAAGAACAACAACATTTAGTGATGTTCCTTTAAGAAGATGAAATATTCTCTGCCTTACATCTATCAACTTGGATTCTTCTTTAGTGACATTTGACATATTTCTGGTGTACTCCACAGTTGCTCCAGGTCCCAAAGCCTGAAGAAAGTCACCATACGCATCTATTTCACAGTTCAGTGTGCCCATTTCTTCATAAAAAGCAATTAACTTTTTTGCAGAGTTATGATCCATGTAAAATAGGCTATCGGTATAGACATACTCAGAGTCTAAGTGAAGACAGACAGCATCTCCCCTTGCAAAGTCTTGTGGACAAAAATTTCCAGGTCTACACACAGCATTAAGTTGATGCATCTCTTCTATGCTGGGCTTATGAAGGAAACGGTGGCAACACCTATATTCAAGATCTCTGTGCTTTAAATCATGAAAAGGATCTAAGACAAATACTCCATGTGTGGTACCTACAGCCAAACTAGAAGGATGAGCTAATGCAGTGAAGCCAGGTTTGTCAAATCTAATATACTCAAATTTTCCAATATTATACAGTTCAATATCATCTGCACAAGTGACCACAATGCCAGGATTCATATGTGAGGGGAAATCAATGTACATGGCTAGTTTTAATTCCAACATCTGATAAATGGGGTTACCAAATGGTAAAGCAGTGAAAATTTTCCCCAGAGCACTTGCGTTTGGAAGGCGTTGACTGTAGCCACCTATCAAAGTATAAAAGAAAACAAAAACACAATTTAAAAATGTTGCTGTTTATAAGATTTTCAAAATCCAGAAACATTTGTTACAATTCAAACTATCTCTAGCAGTATTTAATGTATACTATAACTCAGGAAATAACAATGTAATCCAGATTAAAAATTCAAAGAGCAATTTTATAGCTATTTGAGATAATGCAGGTTTTATTTTTTTTCCAATATGGACTGTCTTTATTATAGGAAATTAGTATCAACCCCTTTTTCTTATTGTTTTGTCTTTTATTAGTATATATTTGCAGTACATAATCTTTGCATTCCCTGTGTGGGGTTGGTACATTAACACATCTTCATTCCTTTTTACATCCCTTTCCCTTCTTCCCTCTCTCCTTCCCTCCCTCCATCTCTTGATCCCTTTTCCAACGATCTCCCTATCTCATATTATCTCTCTTTTATCTTACCATTCATTTATAATTTGGGTTTCTCATGTAAGAGAAATATTTGCAATATTTAAGTTTGTGTGTCTGATTTGTTTCACTTAACATCATGGTTTTAAGATACAGTTTTAAAGATTCTAGGTTAGGGAAAAATTTGAATATACTATAGAGCCTATGAGTTGTTCTGACTCAATAACAAGTAAAGACCATGTATCTACATTTTAAACTGTAAATTTTAAGAATGTTTAAACTCATACATTAAAAAGCTACAGGAAAAAAGTTATAAAAATACAGTACACGAATTCTAAAATATAACCCCAAAATATAATGATATATAATAACGTAATTCTCTATTAAATATTTATTTCAAGATGTAAATGTCTTCCTTTAAATTATTATACACACTTAAAAATAAAGGTACTTGATTCAATAATATTTAAACAATTTATACCTGTTTTTCATTTAGACTTTTCCTTCTAAGAAGAGCATAAATTAATTTCTTGAAAATTGTTCTCTTAAGTACATTAAGTATGTTGCACTATTTCTCTGTAACTATCATGATAGGCAGCCCACCAGAATAAAATGTCAGATAAAAATGAGTTCAAATATGGTTCACCACTTTTTAGCCATTTACTCTTACAGTTACTCCAAGTCAGCAAAGAAAGAATAATACTTGCCATATTACATTTTATGAAATCATTACCACATATAAAGCACATCGCACACAGTATATTGATGAACAAAATCAAAGTTAATAATAACTTTCTATTGTTTCCTTTTCCAAGACTAACCAACAGTAAATTTGAACACTGAAAGAACTAGCTACCACTGCCTGCCAATATCTACACTGATTCAGGACACTAGGTAGATACCAAAATATATAGATGCTCAAATCCCTTATATAAAATGACAGAATATATACATGTAACCTACATCTATCCTCTTTTTTGCTTTAAATCATCTCCAGATTACTATGATATCTAATTAATAACATGCAACTATTTGTAAATAGTTATATATTGCTTAGGGAACAATGACATGTTTAGCACAGATCCATCCATTTTTTCCCCTTAAAAATTTTCCATCTGTGGTTAGTTAAGTCTGCAAATGTGAAATCCACAGATAAAAAGGACTTACTATATTTTCAACTATGCTTGTCTGGTGTCTAATTAAATTTTTAAAATAAATTATTAATAATAGCTTTTTTTAGAAACAAAATCATAAACTCAATTGTATTATAATCTTAGTCTTGAAACCGGAGCTTAAACGCATTACATTCACATCATTCTCATAAAGAATCATGATTATATACATGAATTGTAAGAATCAGAAAGGGCTTCAGGAGCCATGGAGGTAAGTGGTAGTAAAATATGTTTTCCCAGACTACTGTTAGTCCATGACAAAGTCTTTATCAGTCCTCTAGCATACAGAGAAATAACAGAGGTTTTATGCAACCGAAATTTTCATAAAGCAGAGATTAAAAGAAATAGAAAAGAATAGAAGAAAAACAATAGAAAAAAGTTATGTAAATGGAGAGAAGGAAGATTGAAAGGGAAGGAGAATGAGAAAAAATAAACCATGTATTATATACAGGTACAAATTCTGTATGACGCATGCAATCATTATGTATGTCAAAAATATACCACTAATTTATAAAAGAAGTATTTTTGATTGTGTAGAAATGTGTAGGCTATTCAAGTAAAGAACATTAAAAAATAAAAAACTATCTTTATTCTAAGATTATTTCTTTCCATGTCTTCTGCTTTAAAATATCCTTCATTATGTGTTTGTGTTTCTTCTTATTTACAACTCTGCTAAGGACTGTAACCTTTGGAAATCAAAAATTAGACAAATGCAAGACAGAAGGTATTGGCAAAAGTCTAGTAGCAAGTGTGTTAAACTAGTCTCTTACCCATAGCAAAATCCCCTCAAAAGCATTCCTGAGAAACGATCATATTTTGATGAGCTTTGTCTTAAGAAAAAAGAGCTTTCTATATATATACCAAAGATAAAACAATATCTGCAAAACAATTGATGATGTATGAGATAGATCTACAATTTGAAGGATAATTTTTGTTTGGTTGGTTTTATTTTTTAGTACTGGGAATTGAGCTCAGGACCCTGCACTTGCCAGGCAGGTGCTATGCCTCTAAGCTATACCTCTGGCCTAAGGATAAATTTTTTGAGAAGCATTGTACTACTTGGAACCTAGGAACACTAAGAAAAGTATGAAATATTTTTTTTTTAAAGAAAATAACTTCAAATAATACAAATAATTAACAGGAGAAAAAAGTTATTTGCATGACAGCCAAAAGTCCTAATATATCAAAAGCAGAGGATTTAAAAGAAAACATCAATTAATAAAGTAAATTTTACCAGAGTGAATTAATAGTATAGTGAAAGAATTCCATTTATCTTCATATAGCTTTTCCAAACATCGAAGAGCACACAGGGTTGATCCTCCATTTCCTTAAAAATAATTTTAAAAGCACAATTTATTTCATAGATATCCACTAAAAGTTTATAATGTTGGTAAACTTATGACTTTAAAGGTATTGCTTTAGCTATAATTACCTAGGTAAACAGCAATAGTATTGGCAAAGAATAAAATTAATATACCTTACAGCAGAAAAAAAATGAGTAATTATTATAAAAACTCAGAGAATAGTCCTTGGTAATAAATAATTAGGTAAAATTTTCCCCAAAACTGTAATTGAAAAAGAAAGATGAATTATATGATCTGTAACATAGTAAGACTCTTCAGTATAAACATTCATAGGCAATAACAAATCCTAAAACCAATTTAAATAATTCTTCCATATGACATAATCAAATATATAAATTAGCTTTTTTAGGAGGAGGTGGTTTGGTACCGGGAATCGAACTCAGGATCTTGTGCTTGCCAGGCAGGCACTTGTGCAGCTGGGCTATATCCCTGGCCCCTAGCTTTTCTTTTTAAAACTATTTTAAGAACTTGGTTTCCAAAACAAAATATCTTGTAAACAATTAATTCACTACTTACTACTACCACCATAGACAAGATATTTAACTGTGGGGTTGGATTTGGGAGGGACTTTAAGAGCTCAACTAATGAGATCCAAAGAAATAATCACCATCCGAATAAATTGTACTAAAAGTAATAAAATTCTCTTTTTAAAAAATTTTTATCTTTTTGAGACAGGGTCTCACTTTGCAGTTCAGGCTGGCCTTGAGCTCACTTTGTAGCCCAGGCTCATCTCCAGCTTGCAACGATCTTCCTGCCTCTGCCTCCGAAGTGCTGGGATTACAGGTGTGTGCCACCATGCCAGCCTAAAATTCTCTTTTAAATAACATTCTGGAAATTTTTCACTGTTAAGTCATAATTAGTACAAGCAGCTGCTATACTCTTTATTTTTCTGAGAGTCAATTTAAATTTATATTTTAATATTTGTAAAGGTCATGGGTCAAGAAGTGTAGCTTATAAACGGTAAACCACAGAAAGTATTTTTTCAATGATTATTCTGCCCAAAATCTATGTATAAATCTGTCCATAAAATGCATACCAATTTTGGATCCAGCAGGATCAACAAAAACATGATATTGAACTCCAAGGGGTAATTCCTTTCTCTTCAGCTTTTCTGACAGCTGCTGCTTATAAGCAAGTTCCTGCTTTTCATCAGCAGCTGTTAGTACAACTATGTCCCAGAATTCTCCAGCTCCCACAGGTTTGCCTGTTTGGGAAAAGCAACAAAATGATAACAAATATGATCATAATTATCTACCTATTATAGGTTTATTTCAAATAAAAAGGAAAAATAATATTTATTACCATTTTCAAAAATGTAACTGCTACTTTTGAAAATTATGAAATTATTGTTGGCCTACCAATACCATTGAAAATAGTTCTACTGAATATTGACTATAAATTATTTTTTTTCTCTTCCTTTACATTTCTCCCTGGTGTAATGGCCCAGAATCCCATTTCTTTAAAAATTCTGAAAGATTTAATGCAATGTTTCTTGATTAAGTGAGGTTCTTTTAATTTGCCAAAGATTATCATTTCAATCCTTAAAAAAAACATACAAAGAAAGAAATAACTGAATACTGAGCTTTAAAAATAAATTTTCATGTACCTACCCCACCTAATGTCCCTTGGGTAAGAAAGATTCAACGCAAGGATTCATTCCTTTAGTGCTACTTGTTTATGTGAGTATTTCATCTTTTATTACCTTAGCATGAACTATGTAACCTTACCTAGGCTATTAGAATATGACACAAAATCATGGTTAACGAAAAAGGTCAAAAACCCCTGATGATCTCATTAAAAGACAGAGTATTTTTAGTAAGCAGCTGGAATCTCTTCTTTACCATTAAACAAGATGAAAAAGGGCTTTTATTAATTTACAAATGAGAACTGTCAACTAGAATCTAGCAGTTCTGAACATTTTATTGTTATCCAAATGCTAGTCCCTGTATTTTTTAAGCAGTCACTAACGTAAAAAATACAAAAAATTTTACTACACAATCGTATAGGGAATGCCAAATGGCACAGCCTTTTTTTAAACACTGAGCAAATTCTTACACCATATTCTCTGACTTGTTCCCTCTCCCCTTCGTGTTTACATTAGGGAACAAACTGGTGAGACAAGTAGAGAGGATAGCAGAAGAGGAAAACTAGATTTACTTATAAGGTTCCAAATATTATATTTCAGGCCTTTTAGATTTTTAAAAATAACTTCTATGAGCTAATCAATGTATTTTTATAGCTTCGTGATACCAATAATTTTCTTCCCCACCCTCCTCCTTTATTTTAATATCTATTCGATAACAAATGAAGTTAAGGCAATAAGGCGAACGTGAAGCAGGGGACAATGATAGAATAAAAACGCAAAAGGTAAATATTAGCTATTCTTGAGTCAGTTTCCCAGTACTGCAGTTTCCCAGAAAGTGGCAGTCGGGCAAATCTCCCGGTCTTTAGGGCACCCTCCCTCCAGGCGGCCCAGGAAAGCTGAGATTCTTCTTTGGTACCTCTCAGTTCTGAAAACTTCTGCAATTTTCTTTGGGTGGCTTCCCGCAGAGACACATTGAACGGGACCCTAGCGGCCGCCATAGTATCCGCTTCCGGGTCCGGGTCTCGCAGCACGCATGCGTGTAGGGCTCTCTAGAGCCAGGACCCGACAAATACTGCTCCTGGAAAATACAGCCCCGCCCTTTTTTGCGTCCCTCACGTAACCACGCCCCCTAGGGCCTCGCCTCTTTCAGGGAAAGCCTTGACGTTCTGCGCCCAGTGCTTGCCACGTTTCCCTGGCAACGGTTCTTGGTCTCAGAAGACCATCTAGCAATTTGTGGGACTGCGCCGGGTCTGGGCCGCCCTTTCCCGGTTCTTAAGACCTTGAAGCCGGGTTGACCCGGTGAGTGGTTCAAGTCAGGGGACACCACTGTTGGAAGCGACCCACCAGAGAAGATGAAACCATCACCGAGGTTCCTCTTTTCTCTCCCAGGGTGATTCCTCCCCAGTGGTTTATGTGAGTACTTAAACCCCAGTGGGGTTTGTGAGTACTTAAACCCCAGTGGTTTATGTGAGTACTGCTCCCCAGTCGGGAGCAGCGGAATCACTTCCCAACAACGGCCGTCTTGTCAGCTCATGTCTAACTCTGGGTCATCTGGAGAGATCTGTCCCCCACACAGCGTCGAGATACCCAGTCTGAATATTTAAGCTTTATATTCTTTTCAGGAAGTTGAGCTTTGTCCCCGCCGCTCACCATCGGTGGAGCCACACCACCCCTCTGCTTGGGTTCACCTCATATGTGCACAAGCCGCCCTCCCAGGCAGTGTCAGTGAAGTTGTGTAGAGTTCAGTCACCAGCCAAGTTTTGTTGAGGTATCACAATTAGTACCTGATTTAAAGAAAATACAGCATTCAATTCCAACCTCAGAACTCGTTCTACTGCACCATACAGTTTGATTTATTTGAGAAACCACATCTTCATTAAAATCTTTATCAAGAACATAGTAGTTAAAGCCCCGCGGACTTTCTTTAGTTTTTCTTTTATACACTAAAAACTTGACTTTGATATTTAATTATCTGACAGTGAAAGCCTTCGTAAAAAAGACAAGTTACCCTTTCAGGGTTTTGTCATTTAAACTTTTTGTTAATAAAAATAATTCATTCTCATTGAAGAACATTTAGAAAATTTGAGTGAGGTAAAACTCTGCAGAAGAGAAAGTTACAAGATAGAATTCCAGAGGTAACAAAGGGACATAAAAAGGATTTTGGCTTATACTTTTGAATGAAACAAAGCTATTCTAGGGTTTTAATGTGACTTGCCTTATTTTCGAAAGACCATTCAGAAATATGAGAATAGATTGTAGTGGGGATGGAGCAAGGAGAAAGGAGAGACTTGTTGAAGGCGGTTGCAGTAACACACACCATGACAGTTGTTGAAGGCTTGGTCCAGAAGCTACCAGTGCGGTTGGTGGCTAATCGGTCAGACTGTGGATAGTTTAAAGGCAAACTGTAGGTTAATAGAGTGAGAGAAGAGGAGTCAAAGTTGGCTGCCTGAGGGCAGAGTGGCAACTGAGATGGTGAATGCTACAGATGGAAAATGTTGTTGGGGTGGTAAGGACAGGCTGTGATTTGATTTTAGACACATAGAAGAAACGTGTATGCATATATAGTGGAAATGTGTGTGTGTGTGTGCGCGGCTGTGTGCATTATTCGGGTGTAGTTCACCAAAGAGGTCTGGGCTGAGATAACAGTGTTGTGAATTGTCAGCATATAGGTGGAATTAATTTTTCACTGTGAAACTAGGTTGAGATCCAAGTGGAATACAGGTCAATAGTGTATGTTTGTGAACTGTACATTGTAAGGTCAAGTGAACAGTGACAAATGTGCTTATAGAAAAAATTAATGCAAAGAACAATACAGATGAAATAGTAGACTCTATTTTGTAGTGTATCTAATAGAGCACTGACTGGATCTAGGAAGGACAGCATTAGAAAAAGATATTATTTTATGTCAGTACAACTACATTGCTTATGCTGAAAGTAACTTCTACCACATTACCATCTATGGGGTTTTTTTGCCTTCCTTTTTCCCTCAAAGTTTCATTAATTTTTATGTAAAAATTTTTTTAAAATGCTGAACCCTGAGTAGTAAATATCCTCAGCAATAATTGTAGCGAATAATTATAGGAAATTAGGAACTTTAAATTTATTTTCATATCATAAAACTGAGATACTATGGCTTAGACAGTTTTAAGCTACAAGAGTGTTATTTTAGTGAAGCATGTTGCCAAAGAGACTTTACCAGGTATCGGCCAGAGGATTATTTTAGAAGAGTAAAATATATCAGTCTAGCTAATTCGTAAGCCCACTCACTCTGCGTAAATCAGATGCACAGGCAACTATGTAATTGTTAGAGTGTACATTTTAATAAGCACATTGAGCAAATTTTACTGTCAATGATACAGAACCACACAGATATCTTGTTAAGAATGGAATCCTCCAGGGAGGACATTTTTCAGAATCTAACAATACCTTGTAGATTTCACAAATACCAGATTGGTCAGTTTGCCTCTTGACTTGGACATCCCAATGGACTTACAACATTCACAACTAACCTTATTTTTATCAGTTTTCAAGCCCTGGACTTGATGCAAATCCAACCCAATACCATTTAGTGTCTTTCTATATTAACCTTTTTTATGATTTCTTGGTCTGCAAGAGAATTACCCCCAAAAAGAGATGTATACATCCTGAGATAGCAGAGTTTAGCACATCTTATTAACAAAAAATTAACATTTAGAGTTTTCTGATGAATTAAAGATAAATGTTTCAATATTTATTTGTTTTTTTATCATGCCTGCTTTCTTTATCATGTAATTAATTCCGTTTTCCCCCTGGGATTTCCTTTAAAAGAATTTTGAGATTTGGGAAACCTAAAGTTTTGTTTCTTAAATTTCTTTATATTATTTTATTTTATTAGTACTATCCATATTTGGGGTACATTCATTCTTGATACATGGGACATGTACAGGACACATTTTATTTCTTTTTATGTCAACGTCCCCTCTCTCATTTCTCCTCTGTCAGTGGTGTAGAACACTCCCTACTTGCCAGATTTTCAAAAATTCCTAGTCATAAAACTATATTCATACACACCTACCCCAGCATTTTGTCTGTGATATGCACTTATGCCAATTCATCAAAACAAAATTGTCTCAATACATCTGTTGTCAAAAGTGTTTTAAAAATAACATTGCTTTAGTTAATATAAATTGAATTATATGTTATAGAAATTCTAAATTCATAACTCTATCTTTTGCATGATTTCATTTCACATGCAAATATTAGCAGCTACTTTGATAATTCTGTGTCATGTGCAGAATTTTACTTGCTTAATACTATTTTTTATAAAATCTGTTTTTTCTATATATATCATCGAAGAGTTTAATATTTTCTTAATAATATACATGTATTCCTAGCACATAAAAATTCTAGAGAATGAGTATTTAAATCTAAAACTGGTGTAGGCATGGTGGCGCATCCCAGCACTCAGGAGGCTGAGGCAGGAAGATCACTGTGAGTTTGAGACCAGACAGAGCTACAAAGTGAGCTCAAGGCCAGCCTGAACTGCATAGTGAGACCCTGTCTCAGAAAGACAAAAGAAAAATTTCGTTTATAACTGGTACAATCAGTAAGACATTTGTATGAAAATTTCTTCACAATATTAATTATATGTTATTTAAAATAGTAGTGATATACAGCATACATTTTTTATTTCTTGGTATTTATTTTAGATATTTCTTAATTAGAATCTTGTATAGTTTTCACTTCTTATATTTGGTACTACTTATTTTACATGGAAAATTTAGGGGTAAAGATGAAACTTAGGAGTCATTTCCTTTTTATTCTATAAGTATGGTTTATATAATGTGATTAAGAATGATATTGTAGCATTCTTCTAAATTTAAGTTTTATGACCTATGTGTGTTTATCTTGGTGAGTGAATTTTCTGTGTAAAAACTTGAGAAGAATATATTTTCTGCTATCAAATTAAGTAGTGGATGTCAATTAAATCTGGTTGCTATTAGGTAAATTAATAAGGAAGAAAATAAGAGCTTTTAATTTTAGCTTCCTTAATTCTGTCTTGGTTTGTTTGTTATGCAAATCTGAGTTTTGAACCTTTAAAACACCTTAAAAAATTAGGAAACTTAAATGTTTTCATTCTTTTTTAAAGAATTTCTTAAATCATAAAACCCAAGTGTGTTTAATTACAATATTTAATTCTTACACATTTTTGCTGAGATATATTTTTTAAAGCTAAAAAGTAGACATTGTACAAAATGGAAAGAAAAGGCATTGAATTAGGAAATATGATTGTCTCACATTTAGACTAATATCCCCTGAGCCACACTGGTTTTTAATTCTTACAAATTTCTTTTCTGATTCTGTATGGTACAATAATAGCATAGGCATGCCATTGTACATTAGTAGAAACCTACAGAAGATAAGAGAGTAAGCCCTATTGTAAAATATGAACTATTTTAGTTAATAATGTACTAATATTGATTCATCAGTTGTTATCTTGATATAGTATGAGTTTATCTAGATTTTCTCATTTATTTTCATTTGAATTATGTTGATTTAATTTACCTGCACATGGTAGAAATTTATTCTTAATCTTTCAAGGAGCCCCCAGGTAGATGACTTGAGGTTATACATTTTTTCTATACTATCATTACTGACTTCCTTTCATGAAAGCTGAAATTGCCCATAAATAATTAGATCAAAATCATATATATATATGAGTGATATCATGTAAGATTATGTACTAAAGTATTGAGCCACAAGTTTTAGATAAATTTAATTAGTCAAACTCACATGCTTTTAGATTTCTGAATTCTAGATGCCTAATGAAATTGCCATAAAAATACATAATATGATGGCAAATTGTCCTTTTAAGAAATAAATACTGTTGATTACATTTGGAAATCTATATTCCAATTTAATTTTATCTGACTGCATTTTTTCACCCTTTCTCCAATATCTGTTGTTCTCTTGCCTTGTTAGTTGTTTGGTGAATATTTTTTTATTTACTTATACATAAAGCAGAATGATTTTACTAGCTATGTTAAAGTACGGCTTTGCTTGTCTCCTTTTTTGTTTCCTTCTATGGAAGTGGTATGGGTTTAAGTAGGTTTTTAAAGGTGATGAGTATTTTAAACCATTATCCATTTATCCTAGATGTTTCATGGAACAATCATAGAGGAACTAATCAATCATGAAGAGTGGAGTCATTATAATGAGAATATCATAGAAGATCAGAAAGATTTTGTTTTTATAAAATTCAATGGTCTTCACTTAAAATCTATGGAAAATGTGCAATCATGCATTTCTCTTAGAGTGTGCATTTTCTCAAACAATTTTATTACAGATATACATCCACTTCAAACTTGTATAAAATTAATCAAACTTGATCTCCATGGAAATCAGGTAAGCAAAAATATTTAAGATATTTGTATCTAAATAAAGTTTATGTATGATACACACTTGTGTTATCGATTCACAATATTTTCCAGGTTTTTTTTACTTAAATTATAAACAAAAATTTTAAAATAAATTTAAAAGCACCATGTGCATAGACATGAAATTAAAAATATGAACAAATTTTTAAAGTAAAAATAGATGGGGGCTGGGGATTTAGCTCATTGGCACAGCACCTGCCTGGCAAGCGTGAGGTCACGAGTTCAATTCCCGGTACCAGAAAAAAAAAAAAAAAAAAAAAAAAAAAAAAAAAAAAAAAAAAAAAAAAAAAGAAAAGAAAAGAAAAAAATGAACAGTGCATGGTTTGGTGTATTTTACTTCTTAAATTTATAGACTGTATAAAAATACTTCTTGACTCATTAATTCTTCATTTCAGGAGTATATTAGAAAAGTTTAAAGTCAGCCTGTTTCCAAGGAAATTGAACTGGAATATGTATATTATGATAGCTTATGGGGATAATAATATCCCTTAGTTATTGTGGGCTGATTAGGTCTGCATTCTCCTGAATGAATGTACAGCAAAGGCTAAATAAAGAAAGGCAAATGGAATGATTTCAGGGCCCCAGGATGATTAAAGCCCTCTCACATAATTCAAGATTCTTTCAGGGCTAAGACCATGATCTTCTCTGGGTGGCCCATATTTATTTGGTTATCAGAAGAAGGGAGTGGAGTACTCAAGAAGGGCAGAACCACTCAAGGACTTCTCTAAGTAAGGTACGAAGTTAATCCACTGAAGAATCAGATGCCTGAGGCTATAGTCTTATCTAGTTGAGATCTGACCCAGGTGTCCTTGGTTGTGATCTTGTCTGTCCTTTGAGGATTTCTGGTTTCATCCATCACTACAGGTTCTAGCAGGATTATTGACTCATGGAGGTTCACTTACTGTGAGTCCGCCATTTCCAGATAAGGAGCCTGGGCCTTGGACAGATTCACAGGTGAACACAGAAAGCCAATTGGTTAATATTAAATCCTGCTCAGAGGCACTTTGTAGTGGTCTCCAACAATAGCTTATTCCAAATTCTCAATGTATAGATAATGGAAACCTTTCTTTTCAATAATAAATTAGAGTTTTGCCATTTGGAAGGAACTTAGTTTTTGATGTTTAATGTTTTACATTTTCTGTGTAATTTGTAGAAAAGTAATACTCTTAACTAAAATATTTTTTAATAATATTTCAGATAAAGAGTCTACCAGATACTGATTTTTGGAGTGGATTAAAGAATCTAAAACTCCTCTACCTTCATGACAATGGCTTTGTTAAGCTGAAGAACTTATGTGCATTATCTGCCTGTCCAGCCCTCATTGCTCTCACCATGTTTGATTGTCCAGTAAGCCTTAAAAAAGGGTACAGACATGTTCTTGTTAACAGTATATGGACTCTCAAAGCGCTGGATCATCATGTGATTTCTGATGAAGAAATAATTCAGAACTGGCCTCTTCCTGAAAGATTCAAAACATGTAATGACCGACTTTTCTTTAACTTCTGCCCTGCTTTAAGAAAGGTAATTGGCTGCATTGATTTCATTTTAAATAAATTTAGAGAAGTAAAATTCTAGCTTTTACATGCTAAACCTACTTATATAATTTATTCATAGTTTGAATCATTTCTATAAAATATAACAAATCAGTGAATATACTAACAGTTTATACCTAAAAATTTTTAAAGGCTTCTGTACCTGTTGTATAAAAATGTGGAGCTTAAAATCACCAAGCATTTAAAAATACTTTTTTAAAAATTTGAGAGTAGATCTATAATTTATTTATATTTTTACATGAATAATTTCATTGGAAAATATTTGAGTACTAAAAGGAACAATTTGTCCTGTTGGAAAAGGATAAAATATTCAATTTTTACACAATTTGGTGACATTGTCACAATCAATTCATCATCTGTTGGTTTATAAAATATTGGAATAAGTAATTGAGAAAACACAGAATACTATTTTGTAATAGGATTAGAGGATACTGGATTGATAAAAATACAGAAAAGTAAAGAATACTGTGTTGATAAAAATAAGACAAACATTATAGCATATGAATGTTCAAGTAAACAAATAAGAGTTCAAAAGAGAGGATTAACTTTGCAACAGTTAGTAGAACGTCAGGTATAAGATATAGTAAGCAATAAATCATATAATAGATAGTGTTTTGGGTGTGATCTATGTATCTATCTGTCTTTGAATATGTTTTAAAAAATGTATTGTTACATATATTCACCCTTCTCAGAACATCATACAGTGTATTTACCCAAAGATACGAAGCCATCAATAGGTGATAAAATCTAATTGGAACACCATGTATATGTATATCAACCAAAATGTCATTATTTGGAACAAGAGTGAATATGTACAAAATCTTGAAGAATAGGAGATTATTTCAAATGGTGATACAATTGAAAGGGTATATGAACCCTGAGGAGTAGTCATGCATAAGGTAGCTTAGTTCTAAACTTTTCTTATAACTGCATGTGATTCTTTAAATATATAAGTATACTAATGATTCTGCAATAATAATTTTAAAAACTTTGTTTTCAATAATCTGTAATAAATGGTTAAAAAATTTTAAAGGTAAGACACTGTTTGAGTCTAATGTCTTAAACCTGGACCTCAAGTGAGAATTTCATTTCGGTATTCTACTTGTATATTACAGTATAATCAAAAGTAGGACCACACTGATACCTTTAAGGAAAATCAAACAGATTTATGGACTGAAGTTTCTTTAGGAAAAAAGAAAATTGAGGAGGAGAAATTGTTAGAGGGTAACTTGAGTGAACACTGAGCAATGTAAATTTCTTAAGAATATCAATTACTTTATACGAGTAGGAAAATAGAATGGTTCTCTCATAGTATGTCCTCTATAAATAAATACTGCCCAACCCCATATTTTGCTGGTTGAGTATTGTGGGGAAGAGATAAAGCTAGGGTGATGAATTACTTTAGGCAAGAAATGATGTGACTGGGGTTTATAAAGGTAGACAACAGTGTCAAATTAGTGGTGTAGAAGGTAGCAAACACTTATTTGGTGAAAGTCATTGTCATAGGTACTTAATAAATTTTATTTTTTCACTCTTTCATTAGATACAAAATCTGTCATATGATAAATGAGGTGGATTCTTCTAAGTCTTGAAGATTCACTGGTAGTTAATATTTAACAAATTTCATACTTTCACTTGTGTCCAGTGGAAAATAATAGGAAATAATCATGCAAGTTGAAATAAAACAAAAACAACCATGAATACTGGACAATGTTATTTAGAAAAAAGTAAAGGATTAATACAGGAGGAAAAGGGTAGAGATGTGGGTTATTTTAGTTAAGGTAGGTAGAACATGGTTTTCTGAAAAATATCTCACTTATTGTTCATCACTTCCTTTGATATGGAAGGATATTACTCTTATTTCACAAAAGAAGATGAGGCATCCAATTTCATGAAAATGGGATTTCCATAAATCTGTCTAGCATAGCTAGTCCTTCAATCTGAATTGCATCACAAATGACAGTGCAGAGATCTGATGAGGTATTTTCAGTATTTAACTTTATTAATACATATTTGCAGTACAGAACATTTAAATTCTTTGTGGAGAGTTGGTACATGTGTTTACACATCTCAATTTGGTTTTCATCCCTTCACCCATCTTTTGATCTCCTACCCATTTAAAATTGATGGGATATTTTTAACTGAATGTAAGAGAAGAAGAATAAGAAATACACCTTTAATATTTTGAACCTGGACACTGTTGATTGAGTATAAAAAAGAGATTGATGAGATAGGAAAGTACATGTCAGCCATGCCTGTCAAGTTTTTATTAGGTAAATAATAGCCCCTATGAATGTCTTACTTAGTATACTTTCATTATGATAACTGGCTTACATGGCTACCATTATATACAAATGATCAGTTTTTTTAAGTCGACACATTTACTTCTTTAAAAAAAAAACTCTATTCTATTAGCAAGGAAGGAAGGATAAGATGGGGTTCAAAACAGATGAATCATAAGTTTGAGGTCAGTGTGGACAAGGTGGCAAGACCCTAAAATAAATACATAAATAAATGAATGAATGAATAAATAAATAAATAAATTAATTAATTAATAAGGCTGAGGATATAAGTCAGTGACAGAGCATCCCTGAGTTTAACCACAAGGCCTGCAAAAAGTAAAAAAAGAAATAAATAAAAAAGAAACTATAGATTCTGGAATGGCTGATAACACTTTTTATCGTGGAGTGAAAATGAAATTGATAATGTAGTGGAACAATGGTAATTTGAGGTAGAGACTTACAGCTCAAGCATTTGACATCATTTGTTTTTACTTTCCATGTAAATGTCAAAAAATATAAAAATGCATTATATATGTATGTATATATATGTGTGTGTGTGTGTGTGTGTATGTGTGTGTGTGTATATATAAAACATGCCAAAAATATTTACTGTGAATTCCTGGTTGACTTAATAGAGTAATATACTGTGCCAATTCATCTTAATTTGAACTTGATTGTATTAAGTGACTCCTGGAGTGGTGACTGGCTCATGGGAATGTTACACTATTCAGTGATGATCTACTACTATTCATAGCTGAATGTGCAGCTGGAAGTTGGGGGTCAGTTGGAGCGGGGGGTTTGCAGTCTGTCTTGGGAAGGTACAGCTGTCACTGGGACTCTTTTTCTCTGCCCTGCTTTGCAACCTTCATGACATGAGTAGCTTTGCCCCACATGCCATTCTGACATGTTTTGTTCTTCCCAAAACTAGGGGAGATAAAAAATGGAATATAGTCTATATGAAGAACACACATACAATAAGAAAAAAATAATGCTATGTTTACAAAAAAACTAATTTTAATTTATTGATAAACTTGTATTATAAAACTTGAAATAAATTATAAATTCATTATAAAAATGTAGAAGCTGAAATCAACATGGTTATTAACAAGACTGCTTACAACAAAAGTAATGCATATAAGTAAGTGTAAAATACTAAGCATATATATTAAGTAGAATGAAACAAAGTGTATTACATTAGTCACCAACAATGTGGAATTAACATTTCAAATTATTAAATGATTGTTTGTTTGTTTGAGGCAGGGTCTCACTATGTTGTTCAGGCTGGCCTTGAACTCGCGGTGATCCTCCTTCCTCAGCCTTCTGAGTGCTGGGATTACAGGCATGTGCTGCCATGCCTGGTTTATATTTTGTATTTGAAATACTCCCTGCCCCATAAAACTCATATGGTAAGGCTTGGTTACCAATGGATGGGCGTGGTTTTACCAATCAAGTATATTAACTCACAGGTGACTCCAAAATTCGATGACATTGGGAGATATTGGAAATAGAAGATGCAGCCTAGTTTAAAGGATAAGATTATGGGGTATGATTTGGGAGACTATATCTGATCACTACTCTCTTACATTGTGTGCAGATAACAGTTTACTTACCTTTAAGTGGACAAAGTCTCTCATGAAAAACTGTAGAGAATAGAATCAAGTAGCAAAATACTTTTCAGGTTCTGAAAGAAAACCATTAATCCAGAAGCATGTAGGCCAGTGATGGCGAAACCTTTTCAAAAGCAGTGCCCAAACTGCAGTTCAAACCCACTTATTTATCACAGAGTGCCAACACTGCAATTAAACCTGAATACTGAGGTTTTAGTTTAGAAGAAACAATTTATGTATTAACATCTTATGTCTTAAACAAACAAACAGATAATACACATGCCATAGATTTGCCGACACTGGTATCAGCAATGAAAATATTCTTTATGAATGAAGAAGGAATTCATATACTTTAAAATTAAAGAAAACTAAAAGAATTTGTCACTAGAAGTCTCATCAAAAAATAATGACTAGAGGAAATTTTCTGCATAGAAAGAAATTGTATAAAAAAGTTTTGGCATATCAGGCAGAAAGAAAAAATATAGTGAAAAATATGGTAAGTTAAGTCTACTTTTCTTTTCTTGTGCCTTTGCAATTATGTTTAAAGGTTGATGGAGAAAAGCACTACAGAATCTGATGTTATTAAATATATGTAGAAGAAATGTATTTTAAAAGATGTAGAGAGTTGCTAAAGGTGGTCAATTTTCTATATATTTCAAGTGAAATTGGTAAAACCTGACATTTTTAAATGTATCAGTTCATTATAATATGTATATCTGAAACAAATAAAAATAATTTACAAAAGGTATAACAAATATCCTTACCAGTGGTACTAGCTGGATAGAGGAATCGAAGAGACTAGCCTTAGGTTCTCATAGAAGCATCAATTCAGCAACTATGCCTAGGTGAAAAATGTCTTTATGAAAACTCTAGAAATCTAAGGGGTTGGTTAAAATACCACAATAGAGTACAAAATCTGTGGGAAAAAATATTATAATATAATAAAAACTATTTTTATATTATTTTTTCATTGCTTTCCCCAAGTTAGTACAGAAGAGCAATAAGGAGGAGACCATTGACCTATGATATATTCATTGAAGCATATCCAAATTCCTTGGGATTCAGACGCATTGCATGAG